ATAATTGATTCGCGCAAAATCAGTTGAGTATAGTGGGCGCCGAGAAACAGACTGACAAACGGAGTTTCAACATTTCTCCTAGAGGTGAACTTTTCTTTTTACCTATAATCCACGCTGTACGCTGTGATTGCCGTGTAAAAACAAAGACCTGCTAAAGGACTCAGATTGTACATTTACTGGAATAATGTCGATTCCCAAAAATTTGCATCGATTTCCACACTAACGTAGTTGCAACTTATAAATAAATATATCGCACAGCTCAAGGAAATAAACGACATTAAATAGAATGAGGTCAAGCCGTCTATGATAAAAAGTACGATATATCAAAATCAGCTAAGGTAAATGATATCTAGGCATATATACAGTGGGTAGCAAAAGTATTTAACACAATGGTTTTTCTTCCATATCTCAAAAAATAACAGATCAATTTCAACGAAACTGTCGATCAAAACCTAGAAGGAAAATTTAAAACCACTGTTTTGAGAAACATTTATTAACAATAAATAAAATAACCCATATACAAAAGTATTTAACACCAATGCAAATATTATGCTAGAAGAGATGTGTCGTCATGATTCCTACCCATATTGATATGATGTGATATGTCGACCAATGACAGCACTGCACGACACTCAACTGGCTATTAGATAACAGCTTTGAGACACTGCAGCTATTCTGTTGCCACTACTGCAAGAAAATGGTGAAAACAAAAGAATTGTTGAACGACATGCGGAAGAAGATCATAAAAAATCACAAAGATGGTAAGGGATATAGAAAAATCGCTCAAGATTTGCATTTGCTTGTGAGTACATTTGGTGCTGTTGTTCGAAAATGGAAAAAAATTCGATACTATTGAAAACATTCAAAGGAGTGGTCGTCCCCGTATCTTAAATGTGGCTAATGAGTGATACATTTCCCGTACTGTGAAGAAAAATCCATTTTCAACTCGTCGAGAAATTCAGAATGATTCGAAAAATGCCAGAATTGAAGTTAGTAAAGATACAATTAAAAGATCACTGAATCGTGCAGGTCTCACTTCAAGATCACCGAGAAAAACTCCATTACTGAAACGCCGATATGTACAAGCCCGTTTGAATTTTGTAAAGAAATATGAAATTGAATCTAATGATTTCTGGGAGAATGTAATTTGGTCAGACGAAACGAAAATTGAGCTTTACGGACGAAACATGCGCACTCATATATGGAGGAAAAAAGGAGCGGAATACGAGCCAGTAAATACCATCCCTACAGTCAAACATGGGGTGGAAATATTATGGTGGGGGTTGTTTTTCCTCAAATGGAGTAGGAAAATGAAAATCATCGAAGGAACAATGAATGCTGCAAAATACACTCAAATTTTGTCAACTCTGAACAGTGCCTCATCTTTGGGACATGGTCGTGATTTTGTATTTCAGCAAGACAATGACCCGAAGCATACTGCTAAAACAACTAAGAATTGATTTAATAATAATGACATTAATGTCCTGGAATGGCCAAGTCAGTCACCGGATTTAAATCCAATCGGAAATTTGTGGAAACTATTGAAGTTACGAATTCATAAAGAAATACATCGAATTTAAACAAATTGAAGAAAATTTGTGAAGAAGAATGGGTCAAAATACCAACAAGTACCTGCAAGAAACTAGTTGAAGACTACGGGAAACGACTGGAGGCTGTGAAGCAGAACAGAGGCTACTGTACTAAATATTAGTAAAGTGTGTTAAATACTTTTGCATATGGGTTATTTTATTGTTAATAAACGTTTCTCAAAACAGTGGTTTTAAATTTTCCTTCTATGTTTTGATCGACAATGTTCGTTTAAATATTTCCTATAAGTTTCGTTGAAATTGATCTGTTATTTTTTTGAGATATGTAAGAAAAAACCAATGTGTTAAATACTTTTGCTACCCACTGTATATATATATATGCGTGTGTATTATATATATATATATATATATATATATATATATATATATGTGTGTGTGTGTGTGTGTGTGTGCGCGCGCGCGCGCGTGTTTGTGTATGTGGAGGTGTCTATGTGGGTGTGGGTGTCTGTGTGAACAGAGATAGCGAGATAAAAAGATATTTATAACTGGGGTTATGTAAACAGGTATTATTTGATAGTTAAAGAAATCTTGTAAACGTTCATGACAACACTCATTACGTACATGCTGAAGAGATAGATAGATAGATAGATAGATAGATAGATAGATAGATAGATAGATAGATAGATAGATAGAAAAATAAAGAAATAAAGAAAGAAATATATGTAAGTACAACCAGAATTAAATTTATAAATAAATAGATATGCAGATAGGTAATGACTAAGATAGATAGATAGATAGATAGATAGATAGATAGATAGATAGATAGATATTATTGGTTTATTCAAGTATGGATTCCAGAATAAATTCTGATTTTGGAAAGAGGCATAATTTTTCAGCCAAACCGGAGATAGATAGATAGATAGATAGATAGATAGATAGATAGATATGAACATACTGAGATAGCTATTCAATTACCTACTTCGAGATTAATGTTTATCGTGCAGGTGAAATAGGCATTACTCTCATGGAACGTCCTGAATATGGGAAGAGACTGGCCAACGTTTTTTTTCCGGTTTTGGACGCCAGAGTCTTCTCTTGAGATGACATAATTTTTTTCACTAAAGAGTAAACAATAACGAGTTTCAATAAAGATTAAAGGCAAACATATAAATTATATCTGAAATGGAGTTGAAAACTGGCAAAAAGACAGAAGAAATAATAAGAAACGTAATCAAACGTAAAAGGTATAAAAAGAAGGGGAGACAACTGGAAGAAGAGTAATCCGAAGCGGAAGGCCAAGTAAAGGTGTATTTTTTTTAATCTTCTTTTTAGTAGATTTTCTTTTCTTTTTCTTTTTTCATTTCAGGAGAGAAAGAAGTTTTTTTTTTCTAATAAATTCCATCCTTCTCTAGGCACTTAAGCAATCGCCCTAAGAGCAAAGAATCTAATGTACGTGGGCAATGTCATGAAATGCAGCGTTTATCTTGAAGCATACCAAGAGGGTTTGCAATCGACGTTTGCAACACAATCGTTGTTTTCTCTCTTTCCCATTCTATCTTATCCGAAGTTCTTACGAAATCAGAAAAAGCTTTCAGCGCTTACCACATTAGCACATGAAGTAAAAAAGCCAAAACTCCATTAACATTTGCCAACGGACTTAGAAATCAGAAATTAACATCATATATATATATATATATATATATATATATATAATGTCTTAAAATAATTGTCGGATTTGTCCATTATATATATATATATATATATATATATATATATATATATATATATATATATATATATATATATATACATTAATGTCTTAAAATAATAGCCGGACTTTGTCCATTTCATATATTATATGCACATATATATATATATAGTTGTATATTTAGACAGGAATCCTTCAATTATGCATGTTTCATTAAAAACGACAGACAAGGTACTACTGTTAAGCTTTTTATTTAATTTTTCTTGTGTTCGAACAAGACCTTTCCTTTCATAAAGTTCAAATTCTCTGTGAGTTCAAATGCCCCTTAAGGAACTGTGTTCCTGATCAAACCGGACTCACAAATAATTATATCGGTCACACTACTACATGCTTATCCAGACGCCTTACGTTACACCTATCTGTTCATAGCTCCATTGGTACCCATTTAAACAAGCACACAGCCTATATTAAAAACATACAAGTAGAAAACAAAAATATAATAACTTCATCCACCTGTAAAAAAAGATTAAAAATAATGGAAGCTTTAATAATTTAAAAGAAAAAGCCAACTCTTAACAATATTAACTACGAACAAGGCCACAATATGCTAACCGTATTCGGAAATTAAAAACGTATCTACAACACACCAAAACATCCACATAATGCACACACTGAACCAATGAAAGGAAGATTAAATAAAAGAAAATCTACATTAAAATTAGAAAAAGTACCTTTGGAATATGTGTGTATGTGTATGTGTGCGTGTATGTCTGTATGTGCGTGTGCGTGTGTGTGTGTGTGTGTGTGTGTGTGTGTGTGTGTGTGTGTGTGTGTTTATTTCAAATTTTCTGAATACCACCACAAAAGTCCTTTGAAAATGTATGATGCATTTGTCAAAATCATCACCTGAACAATTAATAACCTTGGCGAAACATATATTAGAGATGGACTGGTGCCGCCCAAATACACACTTATGTGCATACACAGACATAGTTTGAATCACACACACACACGTATGTGTGCGAATTAAAATGATATTTCGAATGTTTGATAAATGCAATAATGTCGAACGCTTTGCATGCAGACATACCGCCAAATTTAAGTCTATAACTTTGATAACTCATGCACACAAGGCCCCCATCCAATATATATATATATATATATATATATGTGTGTGTGTGTGTGTGTGTGTGTGTGTGTGTTAGAAATATTTGATTCACTCTTTAAAGGAGAATAAAGGCAGTGTTTATTGACTTTAAAAGAAGATTAATGATTCAAATTAAGTAATATTAATGATTATTGTCTTAGAAGTAAGGTTAACGGTTTACATTAAATGTTAAATTTAATGCACGTTTATAAATATTAAAACGGACGACGAAATCAAATTATATATATATATATATGCAGGGTACGATGGATATATTGTCGCAATTTTATATTTTTAATTCCGCGCATGCGCGTTGTTTGTTTTTGAGTTTGTCGACTGCACAGTATAGTAAGGTCAGTTAGGCACGATCTCTGAGAAAAAATCCTCATGACGCAATTCACTCCGCCAGAAAATTTTGAAACTGCATGCTATACTGCTTGGCATTCGCGCCGAATGCGCCAATATCTACATTGAAAAATTCGAATATTTAAGAGTGTTTGGGTGTCAACCTGATGACAGGATTCGGAAAGAGTTGGATGAGCGTAATGGTGATTATGAAGGTACGGCAGTTCTGAAAACTCCCTCAGATCGTTCTGAT